TGGGCATGCTCATGAGTATGTATCTTAAATTGCTCACATGCAGGAATGTTCCCTCCCCAAAGTGCCTCCCCAATATGAGCATGTATAGGCCTCTATAATAAATTCCTTGTCCTCTGTTCAAGGAGAGCAAGCTGTCTTTGGAAGCTGTGCTCTGCAGGTGATAAATCTTCACTCTTTCATGTGCTGGCTGTGAATTTTAGCTTTGCTCTTGAAGTTGTGAACCCATTGTGTTCATTTAACACACCCACAGTCTGGAGTGTTCGTACCAGCTAAGCTTGTTGTCTTCACTTTTTCCTTTTTATCCCAGTCCATGGGATAATGTCCCTCATGTTCAATGTGGGGCTTCCCTCCTCAGTTAAACTTTTTTTTTTGGTCTTTTTGAGACAGGGTCTCCCTGTAGCCCCAGCTGTCCTGGAACTCACTATGTAGACCAGGCTGGCCTTGAACTCACAGAGATCCGCCTGCCTCTGCCTCCCAAGTGCTGGGATTAAAGGCATGCGCCACCACGCCCAGCCTCGGTTAAACTTTTATGGAAACACCTTCATAGACACAGTCAGAAGTGTAATTCCACGGTGATTATAAATCCACTCAGGTTGACAATGAAGATATCACACCTCAGCAATTTAGAAGAAAAACAGGCATAATAAAAGTATGGATCTCTTCCCATCAAAAATGGCTCCTTGGTTGTGTAATGCTGTGTGACACCTGAGCCAGGCTTGGGGAAAAGTTCCATATTGACTGAGCATCCTGTCACATGGCCTGGGGGGTCTGGTCCTGAGGCCTCACCCTAGATGCTAATACCACATGGAGAGGCCCAAGTCTTCCTTGGAAGGTGGCAGGAAGGCAGAAGCCCACATGGATGCCCCATCACCTCCTCATCAATGTGGAGAATTCAGGAAGAAGAGCCCGATAGACTACAGGGATTTTCCTGCTGACCCCTCTGCAGCTTCCCTGCCTGCCCAGTAGAGGGCAGCCCAAACTCAGGCACCGTTTTCCACATCCATGGCTTAGGAATCAGGGCACACCGGCACCTAGCCCCCTCATTGCCCACTGAAGTTTGGGCATAGTGCCCACTTGATGGCGGCAGCAGCACTAGAGAAACAGGATGCACAAGGAGATTGTGCAAAAAGGTTGTTTTGAGTTCTCCCTAAGCCCGGCAGATGCTTGGCCCTGGAACCCTGCCATACTTACCAGTCTAGGATCTTGGATGAAGGCTCATTTCCTTTTCATCCCAGTACAGGCTGCTTTCTGTCTCTAGTCACTGTTCAGAATTCGTTTTTCTGAGGCCTAGATTCCTACAGTCCCAGGGGTGGAAGGGACTCAGTTGCTGCCAGTCTAGAAGTAGGCACTTTTAACTTCAAAGGGCAGATGGAAGGGGGAGGGCTAAATTGTGAAGCCATCTTAGGGTATGATGGTAGGGATGGTAGCAGCTAGGCTGAATCAGAGAGGTGAGACTTATGAAAAAGCACCTCAGTTCCATCATTTTTCTAACTCTGAGTGATGAGAAATGTGGCTGTGCAACGAACTGCATCTTTGCTATCAATTCCTTCCCTGTAGAGTCCACCTCTTCATTTTATATGAGAAAATTTAAGGTCTAGAGAGAGAAGGCTACTTGCTCAAGGAAGGACCTGATTCCCTTTCTCCCCAGAACCTAACCTGTTAGTGTTGGTGGTGGTGTACCCTGGGGGCCCAGGACAAGTACTGAGCAGAAGTAGCTGGGCATGGCTTGGGTTTCTAGATCTGCCCGCTGGCATCTGCTGATTAGTCTTGGATTGCCTCATTTCCTTCCTTGGCCACAGAACTCCTGCTTGGAGAAAGCAGCCTCCCCCAGGATACAGGGCACTCCCTTTCCCTTTGTGAGTCACAGCCTCCAAACCCACTGTGGACAGCTTGACTCCAAGGCTGACTCCTCCCCCATCCTGATTTTTTCCAATGAATACCTCCAGTGGTAGCAGTCCACTTCCTTTGACCACCTCCCTATGACTGGAAATTTACTTAAGTTATATCCTCCTTGAAATAGCTTGAAATAGGGCCTTAATGGAGAAGGATCCAGAAGACTGCCCACCCCCCTTTTTTTGGTCATTTTAAGACAGGGTCTCCCTGTAGCCCCAGCTGGCCTGGAACTCTTTAGGTAGACCAGGCATGGCTTGAACTCACAGAGATCACCTCCCTCTGCCTCTGCCTCCGGAGAAGACTTCCAATCTTAAATTTTCAGAAATAGGGCTGTTTCCTGCAATGTGTGAAGGTCACATGGATGCCTCTTGTGCAACATGGTTTTGTAAGGGCTTTTCAGAAACCCAATCTTATGCTGGCATTGTGTCCACCTCTAGGAGAACGAGCAGGCCATGGAGAGCTTGGTGTGGATGCTTCTTAAGCCATGCATTGTCAGTAGCAGGAATTGGGTTCTAGCTCCATGACCAGTCCTGGGGACACCTGTAGGTCTGGGGGCTTGTATTTGGAATAGAGCTAGCCTTGGGAAGAATGTCAGTTTCCTGTCACAATGACTAACCCATATGAGGATTAGCACATAACTGATCCCTTTGTCATGGGCTCTTGCTTGTCCAACACCTTCCAGCTGGTAGATGCAGAAGGTAGTTATGGGGAGGGCAGTCCTGAAAAACTAGTGTCAAAAGAACATTACTTCAAGAATACCTTTGAGGGGAAGAAGAACATGTACCTATTTGTTCAAGGAAAAAGGAACAGAGAAAGAAAGAAAGCAGACTAATGAGATTAGTTACCTGCAGGGCTTGGCAGAGACAGGATGGAAAGGACAGAGGGAAGGAAGAGGGAATGAGACTTCTCTAAATAGAACATTTCGCTCTAACATGACGTTAGGAGCCATCGCAAAAATAAAATTTAAATTAAATTAAATTTACAAGGACAGGGAGAAGAACCCTAAAATCAAATAAAAACAGAAACAAGCAAATAAAAAGGAATGTTCTTTGATTTCTATCTTATCACTTTATAGTAAAACAACTAATTAAACAATTTGATTTACTCTTTGGGACTTCCTTAAGTGACTGGTACTATGACTACTCTACTTTTACAGAGGGGGTGTCTCATTTTGGTTTGCTTAAAGAAGCTCCAAAGATCTCCAACACTCAAACCCAGGTTTTACATCAGATTGGTATCAGAGGTCAGTTCTGAAATCCTATTATATACTCAGCTCAGGGGCAGGCATAGAAGGATGAGTTAAGTGTCTCCCAGGTTTCAGGAATCTATGATCTCAGTAACAAACATTTAACATCAGAAGGTTGTACATAAGGAGATGCATGATTCCTTTTATCACCCATAATTATTTAAATGCCATAATGATTATATGGATTCTGAGCATTCCTTGTATGTTTGCTTCCTGGAAGATAAGGAATTTGAGATAATCCTTATTGGCAGAGTTCAGATGGGCACAGGAAAGAGGTGAGGGAATCCAGACAGCCAAACGGAACCCACAGAGAGCAAAGGGAAGAGGGACTGGGTGGGGAATGAGAAAGAGCAGGTAGCACAGACTATACAGGAGAGCTCACGTGTGACTTGAGACCCCTTAGAATTCCCAGTCCACAGGAAGAAGTCCATAAGTCGCTAGAGGGAGGTTGCTGAGTTCTAGTCTCCAAATCTTAGACCTTTGGTAGCTACATCTTGTGATTAGATACTTGTCTCATTTGCAATGATTGGCTCAGTGATTACCCTGGAAAAGGCAAATACTACTTTCTGGATGAACAACTGAAAAAGAGTGCTTTTGTGCTAGGGAAAATGAAAATGCCGTTCCTTTGGTTATTCCTCTTCTCTCCCCTGTGTTGTCTATTCCAAGCTGCAGGAACAGGAAGACAGGCAGGGCAGGAAATCAAGCTTTCAATCCTGCGGAGTCTCTGTAGCCCCAGGCATGTCAGGAGAGGTGCTGAGGGAAAACACTTCCCCTCCGCTGGGCTGGGGCTCAGCAGGGACAGCGAGAAAGCCAGAGTGCTTTAAGTGGGAAAGGACTAAGCTGAGCCCAGCCTGGCGACAGACAGCAACACTGGTTCTAGCTGGAGAGTAAGACAGGAGCAAGAAGAAATCTAAATACGGAGTATTCCTATCAGACCACGGGTGCATTGTATCCTATATCTTAATCAGAACTATTATTCAGATAAGTCTGAAAAGTCCTTGAAGTAGGAACAGTGTCAACATCTGGTCTTCAGGTTGCTGCTCCCCACTGCTCTGCCCCCGACTTTGAAACAACACAAAAATATACCCACATCCTAGAGTGTAAAGTCAGTATCTGTTCCCTTCTGTTCTTTCCTTTCCTGTCTGTCCCCATTGCCTCTGTCCTTCCCCAGCATCCATGCCAAGGTCTTGCCAGCAGCCGGAACAGTGGGGGTCAGGGGATATAGGTCAGCATCTATGTCTTATCAGGAACACATTTCTACCCTCCTCCCCTAGTCAGCATCAAAACCAGCCACCAGGGCCCAAGGAAGGTGGTGGTTCCTCCCCTGACACTCCCCAGTCAAAGTGGTTTTTACATCCTGTCCTTGTGGTATGTTTGTCTTTTCATCCCTGGATCCACAGCTTCCCAGGTGCAGTAACCAAATTTTGTTTTTCTCTTTCTCCTACAGCAACACCCAGTTCTAAGCATATTTGCTTAATATGTGAGGAATGGATGTTTTCCTTTAAACCAATATTTAAATTTTTTTTAAAACCTCCACCCATACTGAGAAATACATTTTCAACCAGTTTACATAGCCTGCCTCTCTCTCTCTCTCTCTCTCTCTCTCTCTCTCTCTCTCTCTCCTCTCTCTCTCTCTCTCTCTCACACACACACACACACACACACACACACACACACATTTGCAACAAAAATGTCAGGAAAGAATACTTACAATGTTGGATGGACTCTGATATTTTCTTTTATTTCTTTTTTGAGACAGGGTCTCCTCGTAGCCCCAGCTGTCCTGGAACTCACTATGTGGACCAGGCTGGCCTCAAACTCACAAAGATCCACCTGCCTCTGCCTCCCAAGTGCTGGGATCAAAGGCGTGCGAGGTGCCTGTTTTGAGTTTAGGGATGCAGCTCAGTGGTAGAGCACTTGCTTGGTAAACATAAAACCCTAGCACCAAAACCAAACCAAACTAGTACTTGTTGGGACTCTCAGGTAGAAAGCCAGAGTCCTGAAGCATAGGTAGCTAAGCTGTCACTGCTAAAGCGAGAAGAACTTTGCTTCCAAGCTAGATCGGATTAGAGCTAAACTGTTTACAAATGAGGGCTCTGGCTAGTTTTGCTTTGCAGGCATGACTCTGGCCCCCTTATGAGGGAGAGGTCCACCTGGGGATTTACTGACAGTGGTGATGGACTTCAGGGGAACTAGGCCCTGATCCTGCTTTTTGTAGCACTCTTGTTCAGTGCCTTATATTGTTCCTCCACTCATTTAACACAGTCTTCCCACAGCCTGCCTGCTGCTCCAGCTAGGCTTTGTGCTCATCCTTAGGGCTACTCTTACCATATTGTCCTGTAACACAGTTCTTGTGTAGGTGGCCAGTTGCTACTGGAGGGAGCCTGGTCTGAGAAAGCCAGCCATCAGGAATCTGTGGATCAAGGAGAGGAGATGAATTATGGCACCTTCAGGTGTCTGCAGGTGCCCTACTGCCTAGTGTTGCCTGGATAGAGGGTCCAGTGGGCTAGGCGGGGCAGGCCACACTGAAGTGGGATGGCAGGAGCTGGCCAGGGCCAAGCGGCAGAGGGCAGAATGACAATGAGCTCACAAAACTCAGTTATCCCTTCAATTGTGTGTAGAGACCTAATGATTTAAGAAATTAAGAAAATATGGGCCGGGCGTGGTAGCACACGCCTTTAATCCCAGCACTTGGGAGGCAGAGGCAGGGTATCTCTGTGAGTTCGAGGCCAGCCTGGTCTACATAGCGAGTTCCAGGTCAGCTGGGGCTACAGGGAGACCCTGTCTCAAAAAGACAGAAAAATAAAAAAGAAAATAAACCTAGGCTTCAGAGGAGGGGCACATGCAAGTGGGGCTCTCATACCTGGGGAGGCAGGAGAATTAGACATTCAAAGGGAATAGCAGCTGGTGATAACCAGTTCCACCCAAGCCACCCCTGCTGGGGAGGAAGCTAAAGCATTCCCCTCTCCCATCCCAAAATAGCCATATTCCAGATAAAAAGCCTTTTTGCCACTGTCAGAAATGACACACCATAAAACATAATTGGCATATAAATCATGAAATTACATCTCAAAATATTGTCATGATTCTGTTTGTCCACTGATAACAGTAACCACACATCTTTCACAAAAAGGAAGTAACAGACACTGTGAGCTCTGTTCTGTCCAGTCTCTGGAGGGAATGCCACCTCAGAGCAGAGCCCGAGAACCTTCAGCTAGATTCTGGCAGTCTCACACACCTGGGTGTGCTCTCTCAAACCTTATCAAGCACTTTCTAGGGGAACAGCACTGTGCTGTCTGGTAAGGGGGAGGAAATTAAAATTTTATGGGGGGGACAGGGTCTCATACTCCACGCTGGCCTGGAGCTCACTACATATCCCAGGATGACTTTGACTTTGAACTTCTGATCCCCCACCTCTACTTTTCAAGTGCTAGGGTTACCGCTATATAAGATCAAATCTAGGACTCTGTTTATGCTGGGCTAGCACTCTATCAGCTCCAGAAATCTGATTTTTACAACGAATAATGTGAGGTTGGGTGGTGGGCTATAATTCAGTGAGAATGTTTGCTAGCCTATGAGTGTGAAGCCCTGGGTTCAATCATCAGAGAGAGAGAGAGAGAGAGAGAGAGAGAGAGAGAGAGAGAAACTCAGATGAAAACAAAAGCTTTTCACTTTTTGTGAATATTCCTCTTAACTGGTTATGCAATGCTGCTTTGATATAGAGTAGTAATAACCCACTGCAATAGGCTGTGTCCTCTCAGAATTCATGCATTGAAGTCTGACTCCAAATGTGGTGGTATGAGGAAGCAGGGCTTTAGGAAGGCGATTAGGTCATGAGGGTAGAACCTTCATGCATGGGATCAATGCCCTTATAAAAGAGACTCCCAGACAGTTCCCTCAACCTTTGACCATGAGAATACAGTAGTAAGATAGATCTCTATAAACCAGACAACGGCCCTTCACTAGATACAGATCTATGTGGGCATCTTGTTCTTGGACTTTGCAGTTTCCAGAACTGTGAGCAATAAATTTCAGTTGCTCACAAGCCACTGCCCTAGGAAACTCTGTTATAGCCACCTGCATGAATGTGTTCATCACTTGTCAAACATAGACTGTTAGGACCTGGCCCTGTAGAATAAACAGGGCCTGAGCTGAGACTGTGAGCCTCTGACCCAAGGTTCTGCAGACCTGGGAGAGAATCAGTTTCTTCTGAGGTTTGAATTCTCATCTGCATAATTTAGGTACCCTCACTCTTCCCCAGGACTGCTGTAAGGAGGGAACCAGGGAATTCTGCCTGAAGAAGTTACCTTTTTCTAATTCTGTGGATGATGAAAAACAGTGAATAATTGTTGGGGGGAAACCCCAAGAATGAAAAATCTAAGAGCTTGCCTTTTTATAATTGACCATGAAAGGCCATGTGTTTCAGTGCATAGAAGGGAGTGGTAGTAGTGACTAGCCACGCTGGGGAGAGTAGATTTTTGTCACCCTTGCCAAGCAGTGGAAAATAAAGCTGATGGACAGAAGGCTATGTCATGGAAAGTCCCAGCCAGACAAGGCTGTCTGGATTGTGTCTCAGAGGCATTGGTGAAGGCATTCTGAAAGCAATGGCTTAGCTGACCATATAGTTGGGTTCTACTGGGGTGGAACTGGAGGCTGGAAAGTAGCTGAAGGAATCGAGGGATGAGTGGCTGGACTCAGTGCAGTATGGTGGCATGGCCAGAGTCAAGCCCAGGTGCTGGGTTTCCACATGTTCTTGGTCCCTTGCGTCTTTCCCTGTCTGCCTTTCTCCTCCTGTCTGTTATCTCTTCCAGCCCCCAGAGCCCACATCAGCCCCCAACCCCATACTTCTACCACTTAAGTGAGTATGTCGATGGCACTTACCAAATGCTTCAGATAATCAAGATGTAGCCAGCCCTGGTGAGCTCTGGCTGGCTAGCTTTGAGTGGGTCACGAGCAGAGGAGGGGCAGGCCTGCTCTTTCTTTAGTAGAGACAGCCAGCTCTGCTTCTGTCTCACAGGAAGCTGGAGCCTGAGGCAGCACCTGGAATCAGGTGCAGTACAGCTGGCTGGGTGAGAAAAGGAGCTGACACCTCTGGACGGCCTGAGAGCTGCTGCTCCTTCCACTCTGGGTAGAGGAAAGCAGGTCACACTACATCCCGCCAGAGACTGAGGGACTGACCACTGCCTCTGGGCTACCTCTGGGATTCAGCCATAAAGAAACATTTATGGAATAGCTGCAGGCACACCACCTCACAGAGGAAGTCAAAGTGGTGGTTCATAGTCCAGACTTCCTGCAGGTGGGTTGGGTCTGGCCATGTTGGACCCTTCCACTTAATATGTACCTTTTTTGGTACCTCATGTTATCAGTCTTCTATCGATCTGTCAATTCCTCTATGCTCCAGGGGCTTCTGGTGTTGTTGGGAAGCCTGAAAAAGTACATAGGAGAAAGAGCTGATCATGTCATATGCACTCTGGGGTAGATGCCTGTGTTTTAGAGCTGAGCTTGATTAAGAGGTATCCCTAAGGAATGGACATGAGAGTTATGGGCTGGAGAAGATCTTCACCACTGAGCTATATGTCAGTGTGTGCACATGGGACTAATGATGGCACAAAGGATGTCTATAGATTGGGTCACTCAGGATCCAAATAATCCAGGAAAGGAGGCAGGATTGGGAGCTCAAAGTAATCTGGGAGAAATCTCAGGATACAGACTGCTGTAGTACAGTTCAAAGATTCAAAGGATGGTAGGCTTGAAGTCTCAGACTCTCTGAGAGAGATGCAGCTCTCGTTATTCAAGCAGGGGCTCGTGAGAGGGTTGCTACCCAGAGACACTGAAACATTCTGGTGTTACTATGATATATTTGATAGGAAAGCTCTACAGCTTGCATTTAGAATAGTGGGAGACATGAGTTTGGTGGAAATGTACACAGAAGTGGTAATTTAGGTGTGGAGATGGATTAGATGAGACATGGGGACAGAGACATGAGGACCAGCAAAGGAGACTGGACTGCTATGGACTCAAGAGGTGGAGAGCACATAGAAGCCAGTGGAGAAGACATTAAAAAGGAGTCCCACCTGAGGCTAGAGAGATAGCTCAGTGGGCAAAGTGCTTGCCTCACAAGCATAAGAATCCAAGTTTGATCCCCAAGTTTGACTGTTTATACTAGAGATATGAGGACTCTGGGCTCAGCTGGCTCATCAGCTTCAACAAATCCCAGGCCAGTGAGAGACCCTGTCTTAAAATTGGTGGATGCCTCTTGAGGGATGATCCCTGAGTTTGACCTTTGAGTACACAAGCACACACATGGACCCAGACACACAGACACATAGATACACATACAGAAACACACACAGAGAGAGAGAGAGAGAGAGAGAGAGAGAGAGAGAGAGAGAGAGAGAGAGAGAGAAAGAGAGAGAGAGAGATCTAGCAGCATTATCAATTGCAGGACATCTAGAAAGACTAAGAACTGAGAAAAGGCTAAGTGTTTGGAAGTAGAAGGTGATGTATCTCAGCAGGAGAGGCCGGAAGACAGAGGATGGACAGGGACCACTATCTCAGAAAGCCTGCAGTAGAGAGACAAGTGGTGGTCAGAGCAATACAATCACTTTGGGGGGTGAAATAGATGACAATGAGGAAGGAAGAAGTTCTGAATCTGATGGGGACAAAGGAGACAGTTTAGGAGAGAGAGGAGCCAAGTGAGGCCCAGGGATAGCTGGAGATGCTAACCTTGGATTTCACAACAAGCTGCAGCTCCCTTATCCCTCAGCCTGTGTCATATCTGCGAGCCTGCGCTGGCCCTGGGTTCCCAAGGCCCTAGCCTTCATTCCTGGAGGAAGCAGGGACAAGTTAGGCTGCTAGAAGCTCCAGGAGCAGTGGGGGTGTTCCTAGCCCAGGGCTGGGATCCAAAGCACCAGCAACTACTCCTGTCCCTCCTGCACCTATTTCTTTCCCTTTTTTCCATCATAGGGCCCCATCAGAACTGCTAGCCAGAAACTGCCCAGAGAGTTATAAACATTAGTGAAGTGCTCTGAGTGGACCCTGAATTAGACGTCCAGGCGTGATGGGAATTGAAAGCAGGTATCCACCAGGGGGTGAGGGTAAGAGTTGGCATAAGCATCAGTACTTGGCAGTAAAGTCCCTGAACCAGCTTTTCTAAGTCCATAACTACAGACTTACAGTTGTTAGCAGCAAAGCTGTGTCTCTTCAGAGTTTAGTTACCCACGCTGACCCCGTAACAAGCACCATGCCAACGGAAGGCTCTGTGGAGGCAGAGATGTCAACAAACAAGGGGGTGAAGGCAAGGATGACCTCACTGGAAAAGTAAACATACACCCCACATGGCTGGGGAAAGGAGGCGCTCATCAGTGGAGCTGTGGGAGGCTGTTTGAGACTGGGAAGAGGGTGAAGGATAAGGAAAGAAACCCTGGTCTACAGAGGTGGGGCCAGTGGAAAGGGAGAGACAAGCTTGCTCAGGAATGACAGGTCCAGAGCTGAAGAGGAAAGGCAGAGAAGAGAAAGCTGTGTTGCTGAGGATGAGAGTCAAAAGATTTCAATAGTACTGAGAGCTAAAGAGAGAAGTTGGTGCTGGAAAAGGAGATGAAGGGACTGTGTGATCTGAGAGAGATCTAAAAACATCCCCCAGCCTCCTTAAGAAGTAATTTCTCTTGCATGTAGGATAGGTGTCTAAGTATATTATTATGTAAATAATGTAAACATTCACATGATCTATGACCCAGATAATATACTTTCATAAGGACAGACAGACACACACTTTATAGCAGATTATTATTATGCAGCTAATACAAGAAAACAACAGGGGAGAATGCAAAGAAATCTAAGATAGTGCTAAAAGAACAAGTTGCATAATTCCATGGTATTCTGTTTGACTAAAGAAAGATTGTATATACTAGAAAAAATAAAAATACTTGTGTGTGTGTGTGTGTGTGTGTGTGTGTGTGTGTGTGACAGGAACTGTTAATGGTGATAACTGGAGTTAGATTAGAAATTTGCGATCCCTAAAAAGGTGCCCTTTTAACTTGGTACCCTTCCCTCTGGTACTCTTTTTAAGACTGTATTTTTGCAATAATTAAAAAAAATCTGGAGCTTCTCTTACCTATTAGTCTAGTAAGTCTTTTTCCCCCAACACTGGGGATTGAATTTAGGACCTTGTGTGTACTAGGCAAGTGCTCTACCATGGGGAAATATCCCCAGACTTCTTTTTAATTTTTAATTTGAGACAGGATCTTACTATATTGCCTAGGCTGGCCTTGAACTTGCAATCTTCCTGCCTTAGCATCTACACAGCAAGGATTACAGGCCTATATAATCAGGCCCAGCTCTGAATTAGAGAGCTTCGATGATCATATTTTGTGAACTAAGTAGTCAGAACAGAAGTCTGATATATATGAGTCCCTACAAGGACAATGGAAGAGTGTTTGCAGTTATGATCATCTTGGAAGATGAAGTGTTTTCTCTCTCTCTCTCTCTCTCTCTCTCTCTCTCTCTCTCTCACACACACACACACACACACACACACTCACACACACAATCTCTGTAGGTGAGTCTCTGGTTTGACTCTCAAAGTAGCACATGGTAGTACAAAGAACACTGGACTCAGTTATTCATTTATTCTGTGCCTGCTAAGGCCTCCCACTTTTATTAGCTGTGTGACTGTGGGCCCTGGGACTCTCATTTCTCTATAAGATACAGTACTAACTAATACTTGATACTCTTGCTGAGCACCTGGGTTTGATTCCCACATGGTGGCTAACAACTGCCTATAATTCCAGTTCCAGGGGAACAATGCCCTCTTATGGCCTCCATGGGTATTGCATGACATGAGTGTACTTAAATACATGCAGGCAAAATATTCACACATAAAATAAAAAATTAAAATTAAAATAAAAGGAACAATCCTAAAATATGTTTGCGTGCAATGTGCATGTGTGTGTATGTCCACACAATATATATATATGCACACTCATATATATGTATGTATGTGTATATATATATGTGTATATATACAGTATGTATGTATACATGTATATTTTGTGACAGTCTAGTTGAAAAATTTGTAGTCTTTCTGCCTTAGCCTACTGAATGCTAGGACTACAGGCATTTGCTACAAAGCTTGGCTTGAAAGGGGTATATTCTGAGGTAAAAGTTAAACTCCCTCTAAGAATAAAGTCATTTTGGGAAAAAAAAAAACTGGAAAAAATCTGATAATAATGGATAAGACCACAAACTACAGAATCATTTCATTCTAAAAGATAGTAAATGTGGTATATACAAAATCTGAAAAGCTGGGGCTGGAGAGATGGCTCAGCAGTTAAGAACACTGACTGCTCTTGCATAGGACCCGGGTTTGATTCCCAGCACCCACATGGCGGCTACGAACCATCCTTAACTCCAGTTCCAGGGGAATCTGAAGCCCTCTTCTGATCTCCGCAATACTGCATGACATGGGTGCACGCACATACATGTAGGCAACACACTCGCACACATAAAAAAATATTAAAAAATATTTTTTAAAAAATCTGAAAAGCTAGGCATATAATCCCAGTATTTGGGTTGAGGTAGAAGGATTCTAAGTTTGAGGTCAGCCTCAATTACATAAGACTCTGTCTCAAAACAAGCAAGCAAGCAAGCAAGCAAGCAAACAAACAGGAGCTAGGGCTGTAGCTCAGTTGGTAAAGTGCCTCTCTACCATGCATGAAGCCCTGGGTTTGATCCCCACTACCCATAAACTGGGTGTGGTAGCACATGACTGTAATCCCACCCCTGGGGAGGTAGAGACAGGAGGATATGGAATTCAAGGTCATCCTTGATGACAGGGCAAGTTTGAGACAAGCCTGAAATACATGAAATTCTGTCTCAAAAATGAACAAACAAGAAACTCTAAAATCCAATTAGTATCCAAATGAGTGCTTTCTAAATTTCAGGTACAGTGGCAAGCACTTTACCCAAGCCTTATAACAACTCTATTATTTCCACTTTACAGAATAAGGATGGAAGGTAGAGACATGTTAAGCAAGTTGACCAAAGTCATGGCAGGTAAATAAATGGTCAAGCCAGGAGCCTAATTTCAGATAGTCTGACCCCAAAGCCTGTGTAAGAGTCTAACAGTAGGAGAAGTTGCTCAGGAAAACAGGACTGATTCAATATAGAAAAAAAAAAAGCGATGGTTTTTCAACATCTGGCTGAAAAAGAATGTGTAAACATATTGTTTCTAAACTTACCAGCAAACAAGAATCATTATTCTTATAATTGCTCCCCAAACTGCAATGTGCATCCAAATCACATGGGGAGCTTGTTACAATGGTATTCTGGGAGCTAGGGGTGCTGCTCAGGGGCAGAGTCCATGCTTAGCCTGCACAAGGCCCTAGGATTGACCCCCACCACTCTTTCCCCTTAAATCCAGAGTCT